AAAAAAATATTCATTAATAATTAGGCTTTTGACTTTGGAGAAAAAGGCAAGCACCATCTGCAATTTGGCCATTGAACTTTTCATGCCACATTTGTCACCCCTAAACTTGGATCATTTTTTCATTAATATATAATGCAACTTCATGATCTCCTAAGAGTGAACAATGGCTACATCTCCCACAAACCCTCTTCACAACTTCTTACTCCCCTTCTTTGTTCTTCTTTTCTCAATTTTCTTTATGGTTTTAAAGATTCGGTACAAGAAAAAAAATCAAACTATTTTTCTAAATTCTCCACCAGGAAGCTTAGGACTTCCATTAATAGGAGAAACACTGGCATTCATCTCTGCAAATGGCTGCAACAAAGGGCTTTATTATTTTGTTGAAAGAAGACATTTAAAGTAATATAATATCTTTAAGCTCTTTGCATAATGCCATCTTATTTTTCATTTTCAATCTTCATGAAAACCTTACAACAACAACAACAACAAAGCCTTAATCCCACTACGTGGTTGTTGTTGCTGTTGTTGATGAAAACCTTACACTGTATGTCATGTACTTTCTTTAGAACAATAAGAAAATCTATAATGAAAACATGAGATGTAATGAAAAATCACTCTAATATTTATGATAAAGAGAAGCTTTTGTTTTGTTTTATTAAACATAAGAAGCTTCTTTAATGTTAATTCTTGATAATTTAGTATGATTATGAAATGAAAAGAATAATAGATTTTTATTTTCCTGCAACAGGTATGGAAAATGTTTCAAGACAAAAATCTTTGGAGAAACTCATGTCTTCCTTTCATCAACTGAATCTGCAAAATCAATCTTAAGCGGTGATTCGACAGACTTCTCAAAAAGATACATGAGATCAATTGCAGAATTGTTAGGAGATCAAAGTATATTATGTTTATCTTATCAGAATCATAAGTTTATGCGCGGAATCATATCAAATCTCTTCACATCAAATTCCATGGATTCTGCAATTAAGAACTTTGATGAGCTTGTGATCAGAACAATGGCTGAATGGCTGCAAAAAGAAACAATAGTTGTGCTTAATGATGCTATGAAGGTGAGTACTCTTTATCTATATAGAACTAGATATCTATGTTTGATTCAATAATTTAATTATTTTCTTAATTAGATGGTAAAAATTAGAGGATATAGATGTATTGATTGCAACCATATAAACTTACAGTCAAGTTTTTTTAGCATGAGGGTCACTTAAGACTATATATAGTCTTAGAGAAGCCTGGTAAGAGACATGATAAATATTTAAATTATTTTTTATTTTCTAATTAACCAAATGTTTATCAATATATTGTGATAATTTCTTGGTTACAGACTCAAATTTCTCCATGGTGCTCATATCAAGACATTTATATATATATAAACAATACGAACACAAAAATATATATACAAAATAATCTTCATTTCGAATATTAAATTAACTTATATTAGGGTCAAAGTGTAGTTTCATCAAATAATCATTAATAACACTTGAAAGAGAGAAAAGCTAACATGATTTCAATAAGGACACATCCATTTTACTTAATTACACAACTTAAGATAACAAATTAAGACAAACGCAATTTTTAATCTCAATAAAATTTCATTATAAAATCTGAACTTTAATGTAACATTCAACTTAATTATGCTTTCAGATTACCTTCAATGCCATATGTAAAATGCTGATAAGTTTAGAAAATGAAGAAGAATTAGAAGCTCTGCAAAAGGATGTTTATGAAATAAGTGAAGCAATGGTGGCCTTCCCTTTCAAGTGGCCTGGAACTAGATTCTTCAGAGGTATTAAGGTAACACATAAATGAAGTATTTTGTTTAATTAGTTTGATATATGCATGTAGGCTGATAAGAAATCTTTATTATTATTATTATTATTATTATTATTATGACAGGCAGAGTGATGAAAGCCTTGAGGAGAAAGATAGAGTTGAGGAGAAGGAGCTCAGAGTATCATGAGGATTTCTTGCAGTCCTTGCTTGCAAAAAATGACCTACAAAATGAGGAGCCACTATCTAATAGTCAAATTGAAGATAATATATTGACTCTAATAATTGCAGGTATGATCAGCTTTAATTTATTTTTTCCATTAACATGAGTACTCACATTTTGAACCTCACACTACAATACAAAGGGGAAATCAAATTGATACAAAAAAATAACAAACAATCAGATGTAGTGCCATTTACATGGTTCGACTCACATCTGCCTATGCAACGGGGAGAGATTAATCCACTATCAATAGGTGAGGAGAAGAGCAAAGATAAACCAAATTAGGGTTACAACTCAACACACCCAAATCCTCTATAATCTCTCATATAAATTAAAGAAGATTAAGGTATATGAATTAGAAATATTTCAATTATGTTGCATTAAAATCAATCTTTCTAAATACACGCTTCTTAATTTAGAACCATTAAACTGTAATACTTTTCATAAAGGTAATTTTACTTCCCACAAAAGGAAGAAAATAACGATTAAAGGTGGTTTAGGTTGCCTATTCCAATAATGAAAAAGGGAAATGATGGATGGTTTGGGTAGCTTCCATGTAGAAACACAGTAGCACAGGCATGGACCTTTTTTCATTTGCTTTTTTGCCTAGATAAAAATTTTACCTCCTGATATGGGAGATTAGGTTATCTCACTGTATAACATAAATTATGGAGGTTTTTTACTGTCCCTTTTATGTATGTATGTATGTATGTATGTGTATATGCATAATTTTTGTAACCACATGTTTCTTTTGAAGGGCAAATTACTACTGCAAGTGCTATGGCATGGATGGTCAAGTATCTTGATGAGAATCAAGATGTCACGGAGACACTAAGAGTGAGTTCCAAAATATAGTGTTAAAAAAGCAAGCTCTTTCATTCTTTTCCATAACTACTTACATATATATTATGATTTATTTTTTTGTGTTATATTAGGCAATGCAATTGGAGATGCAAGCCAAATTTTTGGGAAATACATCTCTAAATCTTGAGACTTTGAGTGAAATGTCATTTGCATCTAAGGTATGCATCTATATAAATAGTTTACATTTTTTTTTTTTATTTAGGTTTTGTATTTAAATAGAGGAATTTATTTTCTTCTATTAATTCGATGCTGCCAATCAAATAACAATATTTGTTTTTTGTGACAATTGAACGTTAATGTAGATTGTAAGAGAGTCATTAAGAATGGCTACTATAGTATCATGGTTCCCAAGGGTGGCCTTGAGAGATTGCCAAATTGAAGGTATGTTATTTCATAGCAAAAATAAGCTATTTAGAAAAATTAAGAATATCTAACAATTTAGATGTTTGCATATTTAGTTTTGCAAGGGTAGTGTTTTTAAGCATTCCCATATAAAACATACCCCTGTAACTTCTAATGTATGCATTAGAAGTGTGTATTAATAAGATAAAACATTAAAAAAAAAATTCAATACATTTTAATTGATTGATTCGGTTTGACTATTAAAGTAATCTATTCATTGTATAATTTATAGTTTATTTATTTTTTAGTTATTAGCTTATTTTCTTAGTTTTTCTTAAACTATTCAATCAAATGAAAATTTTTTAATTATAGTAAATTTAATGTATACTATGCACAGTATATCTATTAATTAAATACTATTTTAATGTTCACTTGTAACATTCAATATAATTTTGGGCGGATCAATAATGATTGGTTTCACACACACACACACACACAGATATATATAAATTACCATATTAATTTTGATGAGTCTTATGATGAATATATTTGTGCATTCTCAGGCTTTCATATTAGAAAAGGTTGGATAGTCAATGTGGATGCAAGGTCTATACACCATGATTCAATGCTATATAGTGATCCATTTGAGTTTAATCCATCGAGATTTGATGTTAGTTTCTTTCATTTGAATGCCTTGATACTTCAACCACATCAGATATATATCATGATATATATATATATATATATATATATTATATTTATTTTATTTCAGGTGGAACAGAAGGCTTGCAGCTTTCTAGCTTTTGGGACAGGAAGAAGAACATGCTTGGGGATAAATGTGGCCAAAGCCTTCATGATTGTTTTTCTCCATCGCCTTGTTACAACTTATAGGTAGGCCAAAACTCATCATTATCATCACCATATGCTTCATTACTATGAGCATTTTCTTGAAAGATTTACATACAACCCACTCAATTCTTATGTATTTACATATCTACACCTAAACCTCAATTTCTTACGTAAATAACCACTTACCTATGCATGAAAAGAGTATTTCAACTTTTGAAAATTAAGTGGTGGTGTTTTTTTATGTCATATGAAAGGTTTGGGTGGTTTAAGTATAAAAGGTGAAATTTGGATGTTGGATATGTAAATATACAAAAAAATAAATTGTAGGTATGTAAATGCTCAATGTTTTTTCTCAAATAAAGCATTATAAAATTTATTTAATGTAAATTTGTTGCATGAATCAGGTGGAGGGTTGCAGACAGGAACCCAAGCATAGCAAAATGGTCCATATTTCCAGTGTTAAGGAGTGGCTGCCCAATCAAGGTTGTTCCAATAGCCACACACAATATTAACTCATAAACCTATTTTTATAGATGTGATGTGAAAACGTTGGATGGTATAAATGTAAAAAGGAAAATTTTAAGTGTTTGATATGTTATATATGCAAATGCCACTAATTAATATTTGCTAAATCATGCCTAACAAAATTATTATATAAAGAGAATATTTATGTTTGTGCGGTTGTGCCGAAATTTTTAATTTTAAATTCAGATGAGTAAAATGCAAATATAGTCCCCGATTAATCTTAGAGTATGTAGAAGCGTCAAAATAGTAACCAAATATTTTAAAATTGAACTCAAATAGTCCTCCATGAGACTACTTACAGTCCCCTACACAATAGTTTTAAGAAAATATCCCCCAAAATTATTTTAGACTAAAATACCATTTTGCCAATTCAACCCAAAATGTGCATCTTCTTTTTTTCAACAATCTTCATGTAGCAAACTTTGGTCATCAAGTTAATGCTCTAGTATTTGAATCTGCCTTTGCCACACATGAAACAATGTGTAAAAACAACTTAGAAATTGTCGGCGGAATGCCTCTCTACTTTCATCACTTCACCATGAAAAACGATTTGCGGCGGGGTTTACGTCTTACTCAAATTTGGTATAAACCTACTTATGGATTATCCTTTGTAATAAAGATTCTCGATCGGTTTTCTTATCTTAGGATTTCAGGCGAACATATTGTTATTGATACCCGAAATGATAATAAACACACAGTAATCATGCAATTATGTGTCGCTAAAGTAATATATGAATTTGAGTCAATGTATCAATCCCACAAGGAACTTATTTAATTTCCAAAAATAAGAAAAGCACTAGTTAATTAGCCCTAAGACCAGCTTGAAATGTTCAAATTTTGGTAAATTTTCAATGTGACTAAATCCTAATTTTGTAAAAATAAATTTCCTAACTATATTTAGAGAGAAAGGTTTTCAAAAAAATTAACTAATCTCCCTTGAATCAAACTTAAGAAATTTAGATCAATCCACTAAACCTTAAAATAGTTGATAATCAAGAACAACTCTACTCTTTAATCTCTTCCAGGTTCATAAGTAGTGTTAAGATTTCATATTACAATTAAAGCTCCGTTTGAATGAGCTTTAACTTTTAGAGAAGCTCTTTTAAAAGCAACATTAGAAAATGCTTTTTCATAAAATTATAGTTGATAAAGTGATATTATTGTTTGAATTCAAAATTTCTTGTGTGTTTTTCAATGCAATTAATTATAAACTTTAAAGATAAAAAAACTATAATGATTATTATCTTCCCTCATGAGTCTTGTACTGCACACCCCCGCCAGCAATCACCTGATTGGAAATGATCGAACACGCAACTCCAGTTAAGTAGTTGGGCATCTGGAGGAGGGTTAAGGAAGGAGGAACAACCCTATAACTGGCTGGTCATAAGTGTTTGATATGTTATATATGCAAATGCCACTAGTTAATATTTGCTAAATCATGCCTACAAAATTATTATATAAAGAGAATATTTATGTGTTGACCTCACTTTTAGTTAAGGTCTAGAAATTTCTTTTAGTAGCCTAGGTCTAGCCATAGGATTTTCCTATAGACTAGTCTTAGAAAACTAAAAAGGGTTCCGAAGCGGGCAACGGGATTTCAATTTCGATGACCGACAGCTTCTTACGGGCAAACCCCATACAAAAAATAATGCCGACATTATGTTTGTGCGGTTGTGCCGAAATTTTTAATTTTAAATTCCGATGAGTAAAGTGCAAATATAGTCCCTGATTAATCTTAAAGTATGTAGAAGCGTCAAAATAGTAACCGAATATTTTAAAAATGAACTCAAATAATCCTCCATGAGACTACTTACAGTCCCCTACACAATAGTTTTAAGAAAATAGCCACCAAAATTATTTTAGACTAAAATACCATTTTGTTAATTCAACCCAAAATGTGCATCTTCTTTTCTTCAACAATCTTCATGGAGCAAACTTTGGTCATCAAGTTTATGCTCTATTATTTGAATCAGCCTTTGTCACACATGAGGCAATGTGTAAAAACAACTTAGAAATTGTCGGCGGAATGCCTCTCTACTTTCATCACTTCACCGCGAAGAACAATTTGCGGCGGGGTTCAAGTCTTACTCTAATTTGGTATGAACCTACTTATGGATTATCCTTTGTAATAAAGTTTCTCAATCGGTTTTCTTATCTTAGGATTTCAGGCGAACAAATTGTTATTGATACCTGAAATGATAATAAATACATAGTAATCATGAGTCGCTAAAGTAATATATGAATTTGAGTCAATGTATCAATCCCACAAGGAACTTATTTAATTTCCAAAAATAAGAAAAGCACTAGTTAATTAGCCCTAAGACCAGCTTGAAATGTTCAAATTTTGGTAAATTTTCAATGTGACTAAATCCTAATTTTGTAAAAATAAATTTCCTAACTATATTTAGAGAGAAAGGTTTTCAAACATATTAACTAATCTCCCTTGAATCAAACTTAAGAGATTCAGACCAATCCACTAAACCTTAAAATAGTTGACAATCAAGAACAACTCTACTCCTTAGTCTCTTCCAAGTCCATAAGTAATATTAAGATTTCATATTACAATTAAAGCTCTGTTTGAACGAGCTTTAACTTTCAAAGAAGCTCTTTTAAAAGCAACATTAGAAAATGCTTTTTCATAAAATTATAGTTGATAAAGTGATATTATTGTTTGAATACAAAATTTCTTGTGTGTTTTTCAATGCAATTAATTATAAACTTTAAAGATAAAAAACTATAATGATTATTATCTTTCCTCATGACATTGAACCTGCCTCTGAGTTATGCAAATCGCCAGCAATCACCTGATTGGAAATGATCGAACACGCAACTACAGTTAAGTAGTTGGGGAGGAACAACCCTATAACTGGCTGGTCAACAAAATCTTCTTTGATGCCTCTTAGAGATGGCAGCTTGTTGTCAGTGTGGACTAGGTTGTCGATCATGTGATCATTTCATAGTTTTGTCAAGGGATTATTCTCGCTACCCTGGTCATCATTGCCTCGAAGGGAGTTCATTAAAGAGTAAGCAAGCAAAGCAAGCTGAAAAGCAAGCAAGTTAGGAGCGGGCAAGTCAATGACAACAAGGACTCTGCAGCCATTGGATTTGCCAAAGGCAAAGGCCTTACAAAATTCCTCGATGATCTCATCATCAGAGGAGAACGAGAAAGGGAGGGAGCCTTGATAACATGTCCACTGGCATGAGACACGTTGTGTGGATGATGGAGACATGGAGGACGAGACGGAGAACACTTGCACTAGGATATATTGGATGTTTTGATTTTCAAAGCATTTGAATGAGATTTGAAGCAGTGAAATAGATGATTGAACTCACGAACCCAAAACGGCAAAAAAAATTGATGTAGCAAGTTCGTTCTCGGAGAAGCTGACAAACGAATGGTGCAGTGAAATAGATGATTGAACTCACGAACCCAAAATGGCAAAAAAAATTGATGTAGCAAGTGTGTTCTCGGAGAAGCTGATCTGACAAACGAATGGCCTTTTAATTTATATTCTTGAATAATAACAAATTAGACATAAACATAATGCCAACCATTTATGACCCCATGCCCAAATCCTTATAAAACATTTTGAATTTTCCCCTGAATTTTAGTGGTAAAAAGTAAAATAAAAAAAAAAAAACACTAAAATTTGAATTTAAATAAAATATCACGACAAATTCTGTGCCGTTACTATTTCCTCTGAAGCCCAAAGTCAAAAGAAGTGACTCTTCAGCCACTATCAGCTAAAGTTCCGCCTTCCTCATGTTTGTGGACGAGCAACGCTTGTTCTATTCCACCCTATATAATATTAATATTTGTCAAATATATAACATTTCTTAGGTCCTCTTTCACTAACGAGCCAAAAAATGCATAATTAATTGCATAAAAATAGAAAAAAATAAAGCTTTTACGGGCTTTAATCCGCACATTTGATTTCCTTAATGTGGGACTGTTGACATTTAGTCAGGTGTCTGTTGGTGGCACTAAATAAAAGATATAAATAACAAATGTCATAAAGGGGTTTTTGGATCTGTTTTTGATATGGACGCAAAAGATTAAAACTTTATTTAAGAAATATAAAAGGTATTGGGAGGTGGGAAAAGACCTAACCACCTGTCCAACTTTTATATTTTGGAAAAAAATATTTCGTTGTGGGAAAAAATTTGTGTACGTCAAGGGGTATGCAGAGATGTGTACATAATAGGGGGTAAACGTAGTTTATACGGGGATTACAAGGGGGTTATAACCCGTTGTATCTCTCGTGTAACTCTCGTGTAACCTCCCATGTACCTCCCGTGTAACCCCGCTATAACCTTGTAATCTCAATGGATAAAATAAAAGCGCGCGTTACAGCTAAGTTACATGAAAGTTACAAGGAAGTTATAACACGCTTATAACCCCCATGTAACCCCCATATAACGCCCGTGTACCTTATTATGTACGCATCTCTGCATTTCCCAAAATCGATCCCTAGTTGTCTGTTTCCCTGGTTTCAGGAGCCTAGGAACTCAAATTAGGTGACAGGGCTCTAGTTTGCCACCTAGGACCTCATTTTGGCTCCTAGCTCCACACATGTTTCCCACAAATCACAACAAATTCACATTCTATAAGCATAAAACTAGCATAAATAACAATTAAAACACATAATTAATATCACATTACACTACTTCATAACTATGAATAAAAAAATCAATGAGATTTATCTTGAAAGAATAGTTTCGCAGACCAAATGGATGTCATAACTTTCTTAAGTTTATTTGTTCGAGCCTTACCCTCAATTCTTGTGTTCATCCTTCGGGATAGATACAAGATTTGAGAAAAAACGCTCTTTCATTTAAACTATGAAAATTATGAGGCCGGTTTGACTTCATCTTTTTCAAAATAATTTTTTTTTGTAAACGTCCTTCCGAAGCGGGCAACGGGATTTCAATTTCGATGACCGACAGCTTCTTACGGGCAAACCCCATACAAAAAATAATGCCGACATTATGTTTGTGCGGTTGTGCCGAAATTTTTAATTTTAAATTCCGATGAGTAAAGTGCAAATATAGTCCCTGATTAATCTTAAAGTATGTAGAAGCGTCAAAATAGTAACCGAATATTTTAAAAATGAACTCAAATAATCCTCCATGAGACTACTTACAGTCCCCTACACAATAGTTTTAAGAAAATAGCCACCAAAATTATTTTAGACTAAAATACCATTTTGTTAATTCAACCCAAAATGTGCATCTTCTTTTCTTCAACAATCTTCACTAACTAAATTCAGCAAGTAATTTGTATTTTCTATTGAATATCAGTGATTACCGGCTAATTTTTAAGGTATTAATCACTTAGATTTTTCTTTAATTTTTTTTTGTTTTTATTAAGGGAACTCGGAGTCGTAAGCTTGTCTTTTATCTATAGTCGTATTGTTCCCTTATTCAAATAAATCCCCCTCTCGGATCATGCAGATGGTTCGAAGAGGGGAGGAATCGAAAAGAATGATAAACAACAACAACAAATAGGCAAATAATTTTAAAAGAAATATGAAAGGCTTATGTATAGGTAATCCTCAGGCAATAAGTTTAAAGTATACAACCGAACAAGATCAGATTGAAATACCTCGAAACACGATACCCACAAAGAAAATCACTACATAAGCCACCCATAACCAGATGATCAAAAAAAATATTTTGTTGTAGGGTCAAGAGTACTCCTAAAAGAATGTATCTCATTGATTAATTACATCTTGGAGGGTACCTAAGAATACTTTCAATAAAATGAGTTTCGTTTATATTTTCATAACCTGGTGCAAATAATACACCAAAGGAGGGTTATTTCTTAGGTGGTTGTCTAACACGATTAGGATGTTAGAGGCTTCTCTGATTCTGATGAGGAACAAGTCATTTGTTGGATTGTTTTTAGCATTGTAGGTGGATCTATAGAAAAGTGAGTGCAAGTTTTAAAATCTTAAAATATTTTAATTTTAAAATTTTGATTAATCTTATTTTTTTATTATTAGAATTTTGTATAAAAATTATAGTTATTGGGTTCTTAAAAACCTAAATTATACACATTTCCCAGATAAACCACACACCAAAAATGGCAAAACTGGCAAAGCACGTGCATAGCAATAAAAGATACAATGCAAGCATAAACAAAAAAATTATATAGAGGTTGGTGTCGCTGGGTCGACAACATATCCTATGAAATCGGATAAAGTGGTTGGACTCCGCATATACATGTCTGGTCCTATACATGAATATAAATTCAAAATTAAAGTGTGGGACACAAGCAACAGCTTCTGGTCTCTGTCATTGGGCTCGGTCTGTCATGCACCTCGGAACCCATGCCCATGCCTTATTTCTGATACAAACCTGATCTCAACAATTATATCAAATACATGATAAAATAAAAAGGACTCGACCTGCAAAAAAATTAGCATGGGTTATATCATGCAACCCATATGAGCTATGCCTGGAGGGAGGAGCTTAGTGGCACCTGCAGAAAATCTTAGTCTTTAAATCATTACTTGAACCTCTTTTTTTGTGTGTGTTTGGGCATGACTCCCTATAAGAAACTCGCCCCTAATAGACTGCCGTGTACGCCCACACTCGGTAAACACACAAAAGTACAAGCAAAGTGATGCCTTGCTAGGGTAACTAAAGTAGTAAGAAACAATAGCTAGACATCAAAAAAGACTACCTAGCCTAGTACACCATCTAAAGAGAGTATCCTAACTTAACATCTAAATGTGCACAAGAGTGCAAGGGTAAAGGCTCCTGTATGAGTTTGATGGGGTCACCAGTGTCAGCCTCATCCTAAGGATTTAAGGGATTTAGAATATGTCATCGAGGTGATAACATTTTGACAGGGTGGCCTCACATATTGCCAAAATTACATAATTTTAAAATAGGGTAGTGAACATATAATATATATATAAAGAATATATTCTATTTAGAGCCCTTGGAACCTTAACAAAGTCATATTGTTTGTTTCTCGTAATACAAAAACTCGCATTGCTCGTTAAGACATCCTCACGAGCAATGCTTGCTTAAATATTATGACCAATAAACAGGTCACTCATCTAATGAATCAACTTGGCATCTAAATGAACTAGGTGATATGCATGCAAAAATACAAACATAAGGCAGTATGCCACAGTCACTCAAGCAAGCATGTGTGGCATACCCAATGATTGAGCATGATACGAATGTTTTAAAGGGTTTGAACACTCGTATTATACCCTAAAAGAGAGTTTAGCACACTACAATCACTCAAACAAATATGTGGAGCGCACTAACAAATTATGTATAATGTGAATGTTCCAATAGGTATGAACATTTGCACTATACCCAAAAGGTGCGCTTAGCACACTACTGTTGCTCAAGCGAACATGTATATGAACATTTGCACTATACCCAAAAGGTGCGCTTAACACACTACTGTTGCTCAAGCGAACATGTCATTATCGCGGACTAAAGAGTTGAATATGATAAGAATGTTTGAACGGGTATAAATATCCATATACACTCTAGATTAAGGGAAAAATCACAACATTCAACATCAAAATGTAGATGAAACTCTTTCACAGATACTGGTTAGCATCATAAGAAACATTTTATTACACACAAACTATTTTTACAAACAAATCAAGATCAGTAGTATCAATAAAAACATTTTATTACCTCATAATATCGATAACATCAAGCCTAATAGCTTGAATTAAGCATTCAACTTGAATATGATGCATGAAAAGAAAATTACTTGCATTTGTGATTTCTTTAAAGTGGAATGTAAATTTTCTCCAACCCCTCAAAAAACTGATTAGTATTGATTTTCTCCAGATGAAATCTAATAATTCTACCATGTTCAAAGATCAGTCTAAGATAAGAATGTGGAGTATATTTATTGGGCTTCAGGTACTCATGTGTTAACTCAGCAAAAGCATCATCAACCTTTTCGCTTAAGTAAGATACAACATCTTGCTCAGGGCAAATTTGTTCTTTCATGTACAAGCGAACCGCAACTCTGTCCTTAGTCACCAAATTCTGTAGTCAAATGAATAATAATCAATTACTTAGTTTTTTGCAGTTATGCAATTAGAATATCATAGGTTAAACAAATTATCACATTGTTGTACTTACAGTTAATGCAACATATGAAGCCAGATGCTTGAGAATTTTTTATCCGCGAACCATGTCTTCGAGAGCCTTAGCTGACAGAGCATCTCTCACGAGGAACATGGCTGGCACTAATCTAATGGCCACTGCAAGGCCATTCTTAACATGATCTACATATTCTTCAAAACTTTCAATCTGCTTTGTGTCTTTAACTTCTCTAGTGTATAGGTATTGTTGTACTTGTTTTTTTCTCTAAAACATAAGTCAAAGTTTGGCATTGAATATTTTCATATATGAATATAGATTAGTTTACATGAGTTACTTTCTTGTCACTTACCAGATCATGTAAGTAGGAAATGATATCTTTTCCTTGGGCATTCTTAGCTACAGTTTCCAGTTCATTCATCGTATCATAAACTCCCATAAATACTCGCTTCAATTTGGTTGGAAGAACTTGCACCAATGCAGGTTTCCATCTGCAAACATGGTTGTTTAGATGATTATATAAATTTAGCCCAATCAAGCATTCAATGATACTTGCAAACTCACTCATTTATTGCTTGACAAAATAATTTGAGTTCTTCGATTGATTCATAGCTCTGAAACATGTCTTTGAGTATGTTTTCAATGCAATTCCATTTGGTATAAGCAATCCTTGAGGCTGAAAACTCCTCCTCATATATAGATGTGCATATTGATAAGTGAATCTCCTTTGGGTTTAATAAGGTGATAAGAGGATCGTCAAATCCATAAGAATTCCACCAACTGAGATTTATAAATTGAATTAGAAACTTTGATAAAACTTTGTCTCAAGCAATTATAGATAATGTTGTTAAAATTCAACTGACGTGAGTATTGAATTAGCTTCTCTTGTGTGCATGGCATGCAGCTTGTTGTGCTCCAACTTGGCAAGTTCCAAGTATTTCGAATTATTGATATAATACATCCTAAATGTAAAATGCAAATCACAATGTGTTATATGTATGCAATTAGTAGTTAGAATGTCAATTACTTTACCTATAGACAGATTTTCCAATCCAAACATCGTTTTCGCCATAATTTCTAATGTATTCTTGTGCATCAAGCCTAGGAAGGCTCATCTTCCATTCATTTCTTAATCCCCACTCAATCTGTTGATTTTAGAGAATATGTGAAACCTAATCAAACCTGCTTCATATTATATTTAATGGGAAGAACAAATGATCGAATCAGACTAACCTCCATTTGTAAGGCTTTCTTTATAGCCCATTTGTCATACGCTTGATTATCATTAATGCCAATCTTTAAATGTTGCTCGGCAAATTTTTTTGCTTCTTTTAATATTTTCTCTCCTGGAAATGCGATTTGGGAGAAGCGATACAAGTTGAAGAACTCTGAAACTCCTTTATGTGTTTCACCCATGAAGCATAAGAAGGTATCATTATTATCCTTGAAGTACTCGAGCACATCTGTACATCTTCTATCATTATTTGAATTTTCATAAAAATAATAGAGAAACTAGAATATATATATATATATATATATATATATTAAAAAAGGAAATCGATATTTGATAGAGTCTCACTTATCAATTTCTCATACGTTTTTTGGCCTTATGATAAGAGCCCGCGTGATGTGCGTAAAATTTTAGAATTCCCGCGTCACGATGGGATTGAACCTTTGACCTGAGGGGACTTACAGTGACCCCGCCACCAACAGGCCAAGGCTTGCGACAAAATTATATATATATCTCAGCTGCTATATGTGAAGAGGTCTCACCAGAGGAAACAGGATAACCATGTAACCTTAATAATCTAAGTCCCATACATGTATCATCAATATCAGTAACAACGGCTTCTCTTTCCCATCCTAGACCATCTTTCCTAAGATATCTGTATATCAATAAAATATCAATTTTCAGTAAGATATCTTGAAAATAGTATTCTTTATATAATAAAGAGTTTCTAATTACCTATACAGGTAGTCAAGAGTATCAAAAATTTCTTCGCGAAAGTGATGATCTATTCCCAACCGTTGGATTGTGTCGATCATCCAACCACGCTCAAAAGTGTCTAGTGGATATGTGAAAGGTGCTGCATGAATATATTAATATAAAAAAAAAATTATTCAATGCCTTACAATTACTTTCATATAGATAAAATTTAAGTGCATATATTTAAGCAAAAATTAGCAGGGTGATGTCGATAGTACCATGATCTTTAAATCTCTTCACTATATATGTTAAGTATTCAAAACACTTTTCATCATTAGTGTTCAAATAAGTTGCAACAGTAGCAGAAGGTGAATCCCACATGCTTCCATTTGCACATTGCAGCTTTAGAATTCTATCCCACTGCACCAAATTAGCATCTATTGCTTCTAATGAGTGAAGCAGAGTAGTTTGAACTGAGTGCATCAGTCTCATTGGGATCCTATAATTTAATTTTTAATTTTTCATACTATATATCATATATATAACAACATTATCAGAAAAAAATAATTTATTTTCATATATAATTACCTCCTCATCTTTTCCTCTCTGAGCTTGATGATATGCTTCATACAAGGCAGATGATACGGAAGGTGGAGCCCGAGAGTCTTGGCTTCATTAAGCATTGAAGGAAATATCATCTCAAAACCAACAGTTCTTACACTTTTTTCATTGCCAAGATCTTGAATACGTGTTTGCAAAAAATGAAGTCCTAATAAAACAATAATAAACCGGTAAATATGTGGATTATGCATATTCTGTTGAGTGTGGAGCCCAGTTATAATATAATAAATATATATGCTTTTTTGCCATTTCTGTAACTACTCCCGCCTATTTGCTTGTGCCTAAGGAAGGTGGGTCCCGCCACCATTAAAGAAGGAAAGGAAGTTACATTTGATAAAAAGTGCAACTTGTAGGTGGTTATATTTAAGTGGTTTTATTTTCTCTTCACGTAATATGTTGGAATGTTTTTTTTTTTTCTTGGCTTCTTGGATAGAACTTCAAGTGTAAAGAAAAGCAAGATTCGGCTCTCCCTCATTCTTCCTCTGTTCTGCGTTGGTTTGCTGGTGAAGGAAGTATCGCAAAGCACGGGGAAGAAGACTTACGGGCTGAAGGATACGAATCAGTAGAATCGCAAGGTGTGCTCTTCGGTGTATCTCGGTGTAGAGAAAAGAAGAGAGTGAGAAAGTGAGACTTTCTCCTACAATTATTATTGTGTTCAAACGGTGTAAATTCCTCAATTAGTAAAATCCTCTGCAACTCCGTGGATGTAGGCAATTTGCCGAACCACGTAAATCTGTGTGTTCTTTTCTGGTGTGATTTTTCTCGTGTCATTTTATTTTTTCACTTCGTCGTCGATCGTTTTAAATTTCAAAGTTAACACAACATATTCATCTCCATCATTAGCTTTAAGAAAATATAAATTTTACCTCGAGCAATTAGTTCATCTCCTTGGCTCCATTTTGTGAGAGTAATAATACAAGATAGAGTGCAGACAAGTCTATCATACAAAGAGAAGAAGGTGGACTCTCCCCATGAACCATCTTCAAGCTGGTTCTTCATTATCCACTCCAATGTTCTTGGAAACAATGGTTTTGTTGGATCATCAATTGATGGAATTCTTGCAATCCATGCTGTGTCGTAGGCTGATGGATTGACCTCACCATCTCCAATTGATGAGAACAATTCCTTGATTTCTTTCACTAAGCTCTCAATCCTCCCTTCATTCTCATCCTCATCCTACCACATGAATAACTAATTGTACATAACTAATATATTATAATCATTTTTGCCTATTATACATAATAGGAAGATTAATTACTATTGAGTTAATCTAGTTGTCTCCAGAAAATTTGTTTATGTTTTTTTGCACATTTTTCATGTGGTTAGGCGGTTAGGAAAACCGTTATGTGGTTAGTTAGTTTTTATTTTTAGAAAAAACGTGACGTGTAGTTATTGTGCGGTTATAATTTGTATTTGCTTATATATTAAGAAAACCAGAAAATGTAATGTGTGTTAAGTACTAAAAAAATCCTCCATTTTTGTTGGCGTTTGAAGTTTAGATTTGAAAACTAAAATTTGGTATCAGAGCGAGGTTCTAGGCTCGGAGGAGTTCGCGAAGTGTTTGGTTCGGCGAGTTCCTCGGACTGCTCGGCGTGCGACCAGGCGAAAGGCGAAGGAGGCTAGAAGGTGTTCGTCTCGGTAAGGTGTTCGCCGCAGTGTTCTGGATCTGCGAGGCAACACAAGAGTCTTCGGCGATCGCAAATCAAGGGCCTCAGTTCGCGAAGGTGAACAGGTTGTCAATGAAATGACCGAAAATGATGGAGGTCCATCTAAGACACTTGTTGTCATCAAACCGACGGCAAGATGAGTCTCAATCCCGATCCAATTTCCAACGTTAAGTGAAACGAACTACAGCATATGGGCTGTCAAGATGAAGATAATCTTGTGTTCACTAGGAGTATGGTCCGTGATTGAAGGTGAATAAAAAGACGATGACAAAGATCAAGGCGCCACGGTAGCCATTTCTCAAGCTGTGTCGGATGACGTGCTGATGGTAATCGAGGAGAAAGAGACGGCAAAGGAGGCTTGGGACGCACTCAGGGAGATGTGAGTCGGTGAAGATCGCGTTAAGAAGGCACGCGTACAGGTGCTGAAACGACAACTGAACAAGTTACACATGGAGGATTCAGGGACAATAAACGAATTTTCCATGAAGCTTACCACCTTGGTGGGTGAGATTCGCTCACTGGGCACGAAGTTCGACGACAGCAAAGTTTTTGAAAAACTGTTCAGTGCAGTTCCAGATAGATTTCTCCAAATTATTGGAATAATTTAGCAATTTGGCGATACTGAGAAGATGCCGGTATCAGAGGCGATAGGTCGTCTCAGAACCTTCGAGGAAGGGCTTAAAGGGCGACTGCACTCAAAGGGTAGTGGAGAACAGTTACTCCTTACCCAGGCC